ATGCTAAACTTCAGAAGTAGGCAGTATATGCTGTGCTGTATGCAGTGAGCTATTCCATCACAACACACACTTGTCCAAATACCCACACTTGCGGTCTTTGCACTTGACCTCTTGACTACTTCTATGACGTATTTCCTGTATTTGGTCCAAGTGTTCAAGTGAGCATGAAGAACACAAGTGTGTGTATAACTTTCATCACCTGATGGGACACACTTATAGCGTTGTAAGAATGCAAGTGTTTACAGAGCTATATAATATATAATATTCACTCATAGTTCTGTAGCGCCGCCTGTCGGCCAACGCGTGTAATGCTGCCGTTATCAGAATGTAATACATAAATGTTTCCTATTTATAAGTTTACAACACAGAAAGTACTTAAAAATAATATAAATTATTTATATTAAGTTAATAAATATTTTAAATCACACACACACACACACACACACTCTCTCTCTCTCTCTCTCTCTCTCTCTCTCTCTCTCTCTCTCTCTCTCTCTCTCTCTCTCTCTCTCTCTCTCTCTCTCTCTCTCTCTCTCTCTCTCTCTCTCTCTCTCTCTCTCTCTCTCTCTCTCTCTCTCTCTCTCTCTCTCTCTCTCTCTCTCTCTCTCTCTCTCTCTCTCTCTCTCTCTCTCTCTCTCTCTCTCTCTCTCTCTCTCTCTCTCTCTCTCTCTCTCTCTCTCTCTCTCTCTCTCTCTCTCTCTCTCTCTCTCTCTCTCTCTCTCTCTCTCTCTCTCTCTCTCTCTCTCTCTCTCTCTCTCTCTCTCTCTCTCTCTCTCTCTCTCTCTCTCTCTCTCTCTCTCTCTCTCTCTCTCTCTCTCTCTCTCTCTCTCTCTCTCTCTCTCTCTCTCTCTCTCTCTCTCTCTCTCTCTCTCTCTCTCTCTCTCTCTCTCTCTCTCTCTCTCTCTCTCTCTCTCTCTCTCTCTCTCTCTCTCTCTCTCTCTCTCTCTCTCTCTCTCTCTCTCTCTCTCTCTCTCTCTCTCTCTCTCTCTCTCTCTCTCTCTCTCTCTCTCTCTCTCTCTCTCTCTCTCTCTCTCTCTCTCTCTCTCTCTCTCTCTCTCTCTCTCTCTCTCTCTCTCTCTCTCTCTCTCTCTCTCTCTCTCTCTCTCTCTCTCTCTCTCTCTCTCTCTCTCTCTCTCTCTCTCTCTCTCTCTCTCTCTCTCTCTCTCTCTCTCTCTCTCTCTCTCTCTCTCTCTCTCTCTCTCTCTCTCTCTCTCTCTCTCTCTCTCTCTCTCTCTCTCTCTCTCTCTCTCTCTCTCTCTCTCTCTCTCTCTCTCTCTCTCTCTCTCTCTCTCTCTCTCTCTCTCTCTCTCTCTCTCTCTCTCTCTCTCTCTCTCTCTCTCTCTCTCTCTCTCTCTCTCTCTCTCTCTCTCTCTCTCTCTCTCTCTCTCTCTCTCTCTCTCTCTCTCTCTCTCTCTCTCTCTCTCTCTCTCTCTCTCTCTCTCTCTCTCTCTCTCTCTCTCTCTCTCTCTCTCTCTCTCTCTCTCTCTCTCTCTCTCTCTCTCTCTCTCTCTCTCTCTCTCTCTCTCTCTCTCTCTCTCTCTCTCTCTCTCTCTCTCTCTCTCTCTCTCTCTCTCTCTCTCTCTCTCTCTCTCTCTCTCTCTCTCTCTCTCTCTCTCTCTCTCTCTCTCTCTCTCTCTCTCTCTCTCTCTCTCTCTCTCTCTCTCTCTCTCTCTCTCTCTCTCTCTCTCTCTCTCTCTCTCTCTCTCTCTCTCTCTCTCTCTCTCTCTCTCTCTCTCTCTCTCTCTCTCTCTCTCTCTCTCTCTCTCTCTCTCTCTCTCTCTCTCTCTCTCTCTCTCTCTCTCTCTCTCTCTCTCTCTCTCTCTCTCTCTCTCTCTCTCTCTCTCTCTCTCTCTCTCTCTCTCTCTCTCTCTCTCTCTCTCTCTCTCTCTCTCTCTCTCTCTCTCTCTCTCTCTCTCTCTCTCTCTCTCTCTCTCTCTCTCTCTCTCTCTCTCTCTCTCTCTCTCTCTCTCTCTCTCTCTCTCTCTCTCTCTCTCTCTCTCTCTCTCTCTCTCTCTCTCTCTCTCTCTCTCTCTCTCTCTCTCTCTCTCTCTCTCTCTCTCTCTCTCTCTCTCTCTCTCTCTCTCTCTCTCTCTCTCTCTCTCTCTCTCTCTCTCTCTCTCTCTCTCTCTCTCTCTCTCTCTCTCTCTCTCTCTCTCTCTCTCTCTCTCTCTCTCTCTCTCTCTCTCTCTCTCTCTCTCTCTCTCTCTCTCTCTCTCTCTCTCTCTCTCTCTCTCTCTCTCTCTCTCTCTCTCTCTCTCTCTCTCTCTCTCTCTCTCTCTCTCTCTCTCTCTCTCTCTCTCTCTCTCTCTCTCTCTCTCTCTCTCTCTCTCTCTCTCTCTCTCTCTCTCTCTCTCTCTCTCTCTCTCTCTCTCTCTCTCTCTCTCTCTCTCTCTCTCTCTCTCTCTCTCTCTCTCTCTCTCTCTCTCTCTCTCTCTCTCTCTCTCTCTCTCTCTCTCTCTCTCTCTCTCTCTCTCTCTCTCTCTCTCTCTCTCTCTCTCTCTCTCTCTCTCTCTCTCTCTCTCTCTCTCTCTCTCTCTCTCTCTCTCTCTCTCTCTCTCTCTCTCTCTCTCTCTCTCTCTCTCTCTCTCTCTCTCTCTCTCTCTCTCTCTCTCTCTCTCTCTCTCTCTCTCTCTCTCTCTCTCTCTCTCTCTCTCTCTCTCTCTCTCTCTCTCTCTCTCTCTCTCTCTCTCTCTCTCTCTCTCTCTCTCTCTCTCTCTCTCTCTCTCTCTCTCTCTCTCTCTCTCTCTCTCTCTCTCTCTCTCTCTCTCTCTCTCTCTCTCTCTCTCTCTCTCTCTCTCTCTCTCTCTCTCTCTCTCTCTCTCTCTCTCTCTCTCTCTCTCTCTCTCTCTCTCTCTCTCTCTCTCTCTCTCTCTCTCTCTCTCTCTCTCTCTCTCTCTCTCTCTCTCTCTCTCTCTCTCTCTCTCTCTCTCTCTCTCTCTCTCTCTCTCTCTCTCTCTCTCTCTCTCTCTCTCTCTCTCTCTCTCTCTCTCTCTCTCTCTCTCTCTCTCTCTCTCTCTCTCTCTCTCTCTCTCTCTCTCTCTCTCTCTCTCTCTCTCTCTCTCTCTCTCTCTCTCTCTCTCTCTCTCTCTCTCTCTCTCTCTCTCTCTCTCTCTCTCTCTCTCTCTCTCTCTCTCTCTCTCTCTCTCTCTCTCTCTCTCTCTCTCTCTCTCTCTCTCTCTCTCTCTCTCTCTCTCTCTCTCTCTCTCTCTCTCTCTCTCTCTCTCTCTCTCTCTCTCTCTCTCTCTCTCTCTCTCTCTCTCTCTCTCTCTCTCTCTCTCTCTCTCTCTCTCTCTCTCTCTCTCTCTCTCTCTCTCTCTCTCTCTCTCTCTCTCTCTCTCTCTCTCTCTCTCTCTCTCTCTCTCTCTCTCTCTCTCTCTCTCTCTCTCTCTCTCTCTCTCTCTCTCTCTCTCTCTCTCTCTCTCTCTCTCTCTCTCTCTCTCTCTCTCTCTCTCTCTCTCTCTCTCTCTCTCTCTCTCTCTCTCTCTCTCTCTCTCTCTCTCTCTCTCTCTCTCTCTCTCTCTCTCTCTCTCTCTCTCTCTCTCTCTCTCTCTCTCTCTCTCTCTCTCTCTCTCTCTCTCTCTCTCTCTCTCTCTCTCTCTCTCTCTCTCTCTCTCTCTCTCTCTCTCTCTCTCTCTCTCTCTCTCTCTCTCTCTCTCTCTCTCTCTCTCTCTCTCTCTCTCTCTCTCTCTCTCTCTCTCTCTCTCTCTCTCTCTCTCTCTCTCTCTCTCTCTCTCTCTCTCTCTCTCTCTCTCTCTCTCTCTCTCTCTCTCTCTCTCTCTCTCTCTCTCTCTCTCTCTCTCTCTCTCTCTCTCTCTCTCTCTCTCTCTCTCTCTCTCTCTCTCTCTCTCTCTCTCTCTCTCTCTCTCTCTCTCTCTCTCTCTCTCTCTCTCTCTCTCTCTCTCTCTCTCTCTCTCTCTCTCTCTCTCTCTCTCTCTCTCTCTCTCTCTCTCTCTCTCTCTCTCTCTCTCTCTCTCTCTCTCTCTCTCTCTCTCTCTCTCTCTCTCTCTCTCTCTCTCTCTCTCTCACACACACACACACACACACACACACACATATAGAGTTTTTTTTGTGCATTTAATTGACAGAAAAAAATTATATATAGAATTAAAGAAAATAAATTATATATGTAAAATAAAAACATATTTTAAAGAAATAATATATAATATATGAGATATAATAATAAAAAAAATATATAAAATAATATATATTATATAAATGTGGTATTTTTATACATTTAATTGATAGAAAAAAAATATTAATTAATATAAATTATATATATACATATATATATTTATAAAATAAATACATATTTTAAAGAAATAATATATAATATATATACTTAATAAATAATATATAAAATAAAATATATTATATAAATGCGGTCTTTTTGTACATTTAATTGATATAGAAAAAAATTATATATATATTGTTTATTTATTATCATATTATTATTAATATTATATAGTTTTATATTTTAATTAGTATAATTAGTGAGGTGTTTTGTGCATTTAACTGATACATAAATATACAAATAATTCATTTAATTGATATAGAAAAAAATAATATATATTGTTTATTTATTATCATATTATTATTAATATTATATAGTTTTATATTTTAATTAGTATAATTAGTGAGGTGTTTTGTGCATTTAACTGATACATAAATATACAAATAATTAATATACATTATAAATTAAACAGTAACAATATTATTATTGTGGATTCTTAAAACAAAAGCGTGTTACTGTTCTCTGCGCTGCTCGGGATGGACCAATCAGAGTCGAGTGTGAGGATGCGATGAGGATTTGAAAAAAATTATTTTTTAAAGATTCATGAAGAGAAATTCCTTTTGTGTGTCAGATAAGAACCCTTATGGGTTATGTGTTTACATTATTATATTTATATCAATCTTACGAAGGAGTCGTTAGGTTTGAGCGCCGCCTCGCGCCCCCGAACAGTGTGACCGTTGAGTATCATAGCAACCGCCATTTGAGGTAT